TCTATCCTGTAATATGACTTGATCGCTTTAAACTCCGCACACGGAGCTCTGATTGGTCAGCAGGCGGTGCTTTCACTGAGTTGATCTCTTAGCCTGGCCACCTAACCTGCTCCGGAGCAGGTTTGCCGCTCAGCATAAGTTACCATGGAAATCTAGCCTGCTAAAAAGAGAACCAGCGTCGTAGGACCGGAAAGCCCGAGATTTCCCTGAAGTTAGCTAAGAGAAAATCCAGCTTCGTAGTACAGGCCTCTGCTTTCCTTACGACCTAACTCGTGTGTGTGTGTGTGTGTGGTGTGTGGTGTGTGTGTGTGTGTGTGTGTGTGTGGTGTGTGTGTGTGTGTGTGTGTGTGTGTTGTGTGTGTGTGTGGTGTGTGTGTGTGTGTGTGTGTGTGTTGTGATGTGTGTGTGTTGTGTGTGTGTGTGTGTGTGTGTTGTGTGTGTGTGTGTGTTGGTGTGTGTGTGTGTGTGTGTGTGTGTGTGTGTGTGTGTGTGTGTTCGCTCTGAATTGAATTGTCACTGTTTTGGGACTGTGGCCCACTTCCTGTTTGATGAGGCGGCGGCTTCACAGCTCCTCTTGCAAACCGCGCCGCAGTTTTAACGACATCTGACAATTAGTGGCCGCTCCTGACCAGAACACCTCGCCTGAGCACGGTCACATCATTCAGGCAAAATGTCGCCTTCCTGAGTCGTTGGCGTTGCTCACTTCAAATTTCCTGCTTTCCTTTTTTTAATTGCTGGTCTTTCTAGGTGAGGGCTCAGAAACCAAACCAGAATAAATCAGAAGCTATTTATTTCGTTACGCAGAGATGTGCAGTTTCTTGGGTTTTATGATCATTTGCTCAAAAGGTCGAGGACGATGCAAATCCTAATATCCGCTTGCATCAAGTTAAGAGAAAGGCAGAACGTTTGTAAGGCGTTAAGCAGCCAAAGCAACAATTAGGAGAACACTTTGCAAGAATCAAACACAGGAAGAAAGCAGCACCAATGAGCTGCATATCAACCTACATGACCAGAGAAAAGATGGATGGAATCATTCCCACATTTTCATCATTTTATCCAACTAAATATTCAGCTTTAATATCAGTTTTTGAGCTTTCAGTGCGTCAAAAACAACTGTTTCTCTGCGCCTGAAAAACCGTTTCCTCTCCTACTTTGAGTCTTCAGTTTAAAACCTCTTTCAGAACAAAATGCAGCCCGAAGAAGTGTTGAACCCTGGGCAACAAATCTACACCAAGCATTTGTTTCTGTGTGTAATATGTATTTACCTTGTGCAAAATGATTTGAGCATACTCAACGGGTCAGGGTTACGCGACCTTTCACACCTGATTCACTCACAGAATCGAGCTTTTAGGTCATTAGAGTTATGATTATGAAGGCTTTGCTTTTTCATAACTCCTCTTTGGATCGTGTGAGGGAACAGTCGGTAAGAGAGTTAGGGAGGAAAGGGAAGGAGGCAAGGGAAGGGAGAAGGGAGAAAGGAAGGAGGAAAGGGAAGGAGGAAAGGGAACGAAGGTTTTCCTCCTCAGTAAATAATTGACTGCTGTTCTCATAAACGGCAGCGAGCAGCTTTATCTCACAGACCTGAGGAATTCAGGGGTCTGCGTGGAAGGAGAGGCTCGGGGGGGGGGGTGGCATGAAAGATTCCTGGCTAGAAATGTAAAATAGTGCTACGCCAGGAAACAAAAATGTATCATTGTTTGAGTCTCCTCTGGGACATGTCTCCACGCTTTAATGTTCAAAAAGCTCTTTATTTCTCTCATACTGCCTGTGCTGCAGCACCTCTTTTCACCCTCTGACTGAAACCAGAGCTGCTCTGATTGGTTAGCTGGCCGGCTCTGTTGCGATTGGTCTACCAGCTTAGAGATGTCCCGCCCCTTAGCCTATCACGTACGATGTGTTGGAGCGCTAGCCAATAGGAGTGTGAGTGTTACGTAGTGATCTGCACGTAAACAGTCAGAATGTTTGATTTGTTAGAAAAACGAGTTCCTGTCTGATTTTGAAACTTATAAAAAGTAATTATAAGTTGGTAGAAACCATCCCTGTGATTGGTTTGTTCCTAACGATGTTTTAATAGTCAATATAGACAAAACCTTTCCTCTCAAATGTGTGTTTTCTACTTGATTTGATCTCCACAATATATCATTTGAACTAGTCGTTTACTGAAACGTCATTGCTGTGTTTCTCGTGTTCAACGCTGAACATCTGTGTTTCCCTCCCGTCAGTGGGATTATATCAGAGACGTCACTCTGGATATTTTTACTGCTCTCTGACATTTTACAGGCTAAACAAATAATGGCAACAACCATGAGCTTCAGGCCTTGTTTCTAAAGAGTCTCCAGCAGATCCTCCTCCTCTGTCCGTTGCACACAGTTTCCACCGGCTTGCCCTCGTCTGTAATTATCCCTCTGTGGCCAACGCAGCTGTCGGTTCGAGTCCCGGCCAGGACCAGCGGCGTGCGGCAGCCCGCGGAAACATCAAGAGACGGTGAGCAACATGAGAGCAGGAACACAAAACAGCAGCACGGGGGACACGCCGGGCAACGATTCAAAACCAGAGACACGTTATTTATCACCGGGGGAAATTGATCGGTGCTCCAGCTTAGTAGTAAATCAAATACATTTTAAAATGTAATCCAATTTGTTAAGTAAAAAATGCCCTAGAATAAAAAAATACAATTTAAAATGAGTAAAGTCAATGAAACCATTTAGGTTTTCCGTAGTGATGTGTTCGGGCCATTCATCATTAACAGGAAAACCTATAGAATTTAGATTTCTTTTTAAATAGGTGCTCCAGTATAACGTTAAAAATAATACAATCAAAAATTAAATCAAAAATACACTAGAATAAAAAGTAAAATCAATCAAACTATTTATTGGTCGACTGCTTATAGATGTCCCGCCCCCTTAGCCTATCACACACAATGTGTTGGAGCGAGTGTTACATAGTGATGTCACTGTGTTCCAGCCATTCATGAAACACATGACAGGAAAAGGGAAAACCCCCAAAAGAATAACTCTTTAAGTGAGATAATGCATTTATAACCCTATAATAATAAATGCAGATATTCTGCTATGGTGGAATGTCTGGATTCATAATGGGGAAGTTTATTAGAGCAACTGAAGCTGTGTGACCTCGACGTTCAGTTTGGAGGACGGGAAGCTGAGGTCACAGCAAGGAGAAAGGGAGGTGAAGAGTAAACAGGAGGAGAGAGAGAGAGGGAGAGAGAGGGAGAGGGAGAGAGAGAGAGAGACTCCTCGGCACCAAGACCCCCGTCTGAAAAACAGAAGGTGTTTACCTGCTAAGAATAGAGGAACACCGACTTCCTCTCATCACCTTCCCCACACATGATGCTCCTCTGAGGGGAGTTCCTCCTCCTCGTCCAGAGAGACCCTTGTAGAGGTTACTGACCTTCTGTAATCACTTCTTCTATTCCATAGTCAACATTTGAATTCCCTAAATGACATTAATTTTTTCAAAACTTACTTTTTGTACATTATTTAGAAGAGTTTTCCCTTTATTTTAACAAATATTTAATGAACAATTCAGTTTACTTTCTTTAAAAACACTTTACTTAAAAGGTTACGGTTAAATTCTTCCTCTAAATATCACTCCCTTTTCGTTTCTGACGTGTCTCGTATTTTTTATTTAATTTACAGCCATGTCTTTTACACCAAGGAAGCCCCGCGCTCAGCTTCCTGTTTCTCTTTCCTTCAGGGTCTTATCTTATCAGTTGACATGGTATCTTATACATTTATAAAAAGGGTCTGTTTTCTGGCACAACTTTAGAGACAAAGAAGGGAAACTCGCAGGAATTGCACGGCAGCAATAATGCAGAATTGGAAAACATATGTGTTGTTTCAGAGCAATTCCTATTTTAAAAAGTGCCCACTATCTCTTTGTGATCATGCATGTGTTTCTTCCCCTGGCAGATACTAGCTTCCATAGAAAGGAAGGGTCTTTAAACGCTGAAATAAGAGCCGGATCCAACCAATTAAAAGTCCACATTTCAGATCAAATAATGCAAAGTGAGTTGGCAGCGGGGGGGGCGAGCAGGGGGCTGAAAACAGGAGAGACTAAGGTGGGCTTTCTGCAGCACATTGCTTTCTCTGTGCCCAAAGCAGAACTAAGCCTCACCAGAGCATTTACATTTATTTTTACGATATTTAAACAAACAAATAACAAAAATAAATCAATGCAAAACCTCGAAACCTGACCAAAGTGTGTTTAGGAGCCCCTCTCTCCTGACAGCGAGCGCGAGACCACCAATTTCTGCCGGTCAATATTTGAGGAGCTAATTTGGAGAGTTTGTCCTCTCTGCATCTGGGGAGAAAGCAGGGGCTCGTGAATAGCGTGTGTTTTTCTACGTGCGTTTGCATAATGTCGCAGGAGTTTACACGCACCCTTATCTCTGTGTGTGTGTGTGTGTGTGTGTGTGTGTGTGTGTGTGTGTGTGTGTGTGTGTGTGTGTGTGTGTGTGTGTGTGTGTGTGTGTGGTGTGTGTGTGTGTGTGTGTGTGTGTGTGTGTGTGTGTGTGTGTGTGTGTGTGTGTGTGTGTGTGTGTGTGTGTGTGTGTGTGTGTGTGTGTGTGTGTGTGTGTCAGTTGTTCCTGCTCCACCTGTGGTCAGCTGTGCCAATAACGCAGCTTATCGCGGGCCGTCACACCTCCAGCATGTGACTCCCACTGCAGGGCCGTAAAACAAACGCACCCAAAGCCCCGGGCCGCGTCAAAAGGACACTTTCATGCAGCTGATTATTCCTTTTGAATCTTTATGGATTTATTGGCTTCAAAGCTACAGACGGAGATAGAGAGACATCTGAAAATGGGAACTATACGGTGTGAGAACAGGCAATGCTCATGCAGAAAAACACAGGACTTTGTTGGGACTGCTCTTATTTGTAATGAATCTAAACCCACTTATTAAACCGTGCTTTTCATCACAAACACAAATCTTTTAGTTTGAAGGTAACGGTCGCTCATCTTCCTGTTTCTCCCCCCTCAGGCTCTTCCTCTGCTGGTCTCAGATCAGTCTGATTCTCTGCAGTTTGACGGCGGCCTCCAGCAGCTTTACGCCGCCGTCGCGAGCCACGGAAACTCCCGGAAACGCAAACTGTCCGAGGAGCCGCCTGTGGAGGAGACGCCCACCGACGAACCGGACATCACCTCCTCTTTAGGTCTGGAACAAAGCTACAAAGTTCAAAGAAACATCCACTTCTTAGTCTCCATCTTTCCCATATTATCAGGCCCTATTTTGCATTTAATATCCAGATCAAATATGATTCAGAGAGGTACATTGTGGGGTTTTTGGCCACACCTGAGACGACTATTTCCACATAGCTGAGCATTCCATTGACACTCCATTTCTAGATCGTTGCTCCTCTACAGTGCTTCACACGTAGAAAAAAAGAGATATCATTAAAACATACATATTGCAGCCACGAATACAAGAAGAAATGAACAATGTGATGAATTGTTTTCTGAGTGTCTTTGTGTCTCTGCAGGTGGATCTAAGGTGGACAGTGGAGCAGCCGAGGAAGTGCAACTGGAAGCAGCTGGAGCCAAAATGGCCGACAAAGCCACAGAAAGAAAGGTGAGATTCACAAATTCCTCTGTTTATCAATGAACTCCTTAATTACATTATTCCCTGACTCCAGAGATACACTTAACGGCTTCTAACTCCAACAATGTGACAGGAGAGGTTTTTAAACAGCTGGTTTTATTACAAAATGGGTTTCCACATACGAGGAGTTTGCTTCGGTGTATGTGCATGCAAAGACACGGTAAACGTGAACAAATATCAAGTATTTCCACTACCAATAAAGAATTAAAGTAGGAGGATTAGTTAAAACTAAACTTCCACTTTTTTGTGTCCTCCACAGTCTCTACCGTCCGCCCCTGCAGAGCGACCGTCTGCGAAACCAAAGAGGAAGAAAGTGGGACTCTTCAGATGAGCAGTAGGGACACACACACAACAATTCAGATGTTTTTTAATAAGGAAAAAGTGTTTTTATCCATTTGATGAAAAATAGGAAAAATCTTAAAAGATGGTTCTTATTTTTAGGCTGATTTTAATTGTTTTTTTTTAGTAATAAATCATTTTTATTGATGGATTTTGGGGTTTTATAGAAGTCAACCTGTTGAATACGTATGTAAATATTATAATGATTGCAGTTTGTTATTAAATATGAATACAGAAAAGTTGTTGAAGCGTCAGAAGACTTTTTTTAACGGGATTTCTTTCAAATTGTAATCTTTGAATAGATTTTTCTTTGGTGTTTAAACTCTGAAATCCTCTGTGTTTGTGCCTATTGACTCTGAGGTGATTCAGACGGAGAATAATGAGCAGAGCGCGGTCGATGCAGCCTTTTGTGAGCGTGGTGAGATGTTGACTCAAGGTGTTGCAGCATCTGGGGAATGCTCTTGAAGTTTCAGATGGAAAGGCTCTGTTTGCCCGCATGACTTCAAGAGTTTCTGACAAACGCTGCCGAAAAATGCCGTCATGTTAACTGGGAAATGCAGAAGATATAAATAATTGTTTTCTTTTTCCTGGAAAGATGCTGCGATAAAACCTCCAATTCTTGGCTCCAAAAGATGCATTAATTAGAGAAAGGACATGTTGATTACTTCTGTTCTAAGATATACAATTAGTGCCTAATACTGCAGAAGCACAGCTGCAATTAATCAATTCGATGATCAAACTATCTATTGTATCTCTGGGGATTCTGGGAAATGTATTCATGTGAAGAGTCCTTTAGATTGAAGGGCAAGTTCAGGTGAAGTGAACTCAACAGCAAATAATCAGTGAAGTATTTAGGAGGGCATGATGTCTGCACCTTCGCCAATACAAGTGTAAAATGACTTTAAAAATACGTGTAATATCTGAACATGTTTTTGGCTGCGGGATTTGAGCTGGTCCTCTTTGTTGACTGCACTTATTGTACTACAAGTGGCAGGTGAATGAAATATAATGAGGAAACTGTTCCTTATTCCCTCAGCTCTGACTCTTATGTCATTTTCTGAGGAGTCTGAACTCTCGCATAGGAGGGGTGAGAACGTTTTAACGAGAAGACGAGGGTCCAAAGTCTCGTGTCTCGGTGACAGTAAACAGCCTGTGGAGAGAGAGGTGGGGGGGGGGAGGAGGGCGCGAGGGCGCGGTCTCCTTCTTGTCTCGCGGCACCTCATCTGTCCTGTAGTCGGTCTCCGCGCGCGCTTCGGGACACCCTCTGACCGCGTGCCCATTACGCACCGCGCGCCTCCGTGTCTGTCTGCAGCTTCTTCTCACAGCCTATGGAGCTTTGAAGCCGCGTGCCAAGATAAACTCACCTCGCCCTATTTATGCCCCTGCCTCCGCGTGCACTCGGGACAGCACCGGTCCGGGTCTCCAGCGGCGCACTGGGCACTTTTACGCGCCGGGAATGGGCACTTTTACGCGCCGGGAATGGACACTTTGTGGGGCGCGGGAGTGAGTCCTGCTCTGGTGCCTCCGCTTATATTATAAAGGGGATTTAAAGGGGGGGCGATGCTGCTCCCCAGGCTCGTGACGTGCCTCGCGGGGTGCGCCTTCCTCCTCGCGCCGGGGAGCGAGGGCTGCGGACCGGGCAGAGGTCACGGTAAGAGACGGTCTCCACGGAAACTTGCCCCTCTTTCCTACAAGCAGTTCAGCCCTAATGTGGCGGAGAAGACGCTAGGAGCCAGCGGGAGGTACGAGGGGAAAATCACCCGGAACTCCGAGCGCTTCAAGGAGCTCACCCCCAACTACAACCCGGACATCATCTTCAAGGATGAGGAGAACACAGGTGCAGACCGCATGATGACACAGGTAACCCTCCCGGACACTGTAGGTCCATTTCCCCCATGAAATCTGCTCTTTAAGGAGGTGTTTCGCACTTTGGCCAGTCTTTAAACGCGTGGACACTGTTATCTTTTTCCGCATGTCATGTTGACTCAAGGCTCGCCAATAATGTGAGGAGAATCTGTCTTAACATACAAAAGGGTGTTTAACTTACACGTCTTGGCCTTTTTAAAATCTATATTTGCTTTTGTTTTAGTGTTTTTTAAAACCAACACATCCATTTAACAACACGGTTTAAATCACAGCAGCCTCAGTGGAAGATTATTCCAACTACAGTATATGTTGAAATAAGTATGGTGGATGTCATGGTTGGGAAACTGATTTGCACAACTCTCTGGTCGATGGCTGAAACCCTGCTGCTGTTTGCTGGGCTGTGAAGGTGACCACTTTGGATCTGAGGGACTTTCAGAGCTCCACTGTGGGCAGGTCGTGCGTAAAAGAGGGTAACCCCGTCTAAAAATGTATGGAAAAGCGGTCTCTCTTAATTAAAACACTATGCCCTCTGTTTTACATCATGTTTTTGGATGGAAAAACTGCCAAAAGTCGTATTTGGTTTGGTCAAGCTGCACTGATGTTTACCGTTTTTAGCCCGAGTTTGGACTGTCAGAATCTTTTACGACTCCGTCATTGATGTGGCCCCGGGTGGAATTTATTTGACTCCCAATTTCCCCGGGAATAAAGTATTTATATCTGGCTCTGGTGACCGCTGGCTTCCTCTCCGCGCGGCAGCCTTATGTCCACAGACCCACGTGGGGAGGGAGAGCGCGCACTGCTGCCCCGAGCTGTCACCTCAGTGCGTGCACTGCAAGAAATATCAGCCTAAAAAAGTCACTTCAGATGAGTTTAAAGTGAAGAAAAGTACAAGATAACGTCTTAAAATCCGGGGGGGGGGGGGCGAAACAGCACATAGGGATGAGTTTGCTTATTTTTTTTGGTGCAAAAACGCCAGATTTAAATGTTTAAATCCCCCCCCCAAAACTGACCCAAATTGATTTATTTTAATCAAAGATGCTGGTACTTTCCCTGGAAAAAGTCTCCTAAAATGTCAACCACAGGAGAGACGACATCACATCAGCCGACCTGAACTCTGTTAAATCATAGCTATCCAGGGATTTTAAAGACCCTAAAGAGATGTGAAGCGTCTCCAAACACTTCTCCCAGCGCCGCAGACCTGCACACAATTTATGGCTCCAAGCCGCAGAGACAGCCTCCTGTTTGTCTTTTACTATTCCGTGTTACTTTTTTGTTTGTTTTCGCAGCGCACATGTGCAGAAATAGCCCACTTCACTTGTGTTGAAGCCTTAATTATACGGCTTTTTTTTTTTGCCTCTTTATTTTTTATTCGCTTTTTCCTGGGCGCTGCATACAGACGCGACTGTTCAGGGGCGAGGGCACGCTGCAAGAAGTGTCAGCACTTAGGCTGTTTTATCAGGTTCATGGGCGAGTCATTGAGAAATGCAAGAAGTGGAGCTTTAATTCACTTATTTACAGTGATCAAAAGTACTTTTACTCATGTGCTGCACTTAAAGTATACTTGACTCGAGTATTTTCATCTTCTGCTATCTGTACATTTACTAGTTTTTGGAGAGCTTAAATTACTTTACAAATTATTTTTTTGCATTCAAAATGTACAAGATAAGTCAATGAGTCGATTGACAGAATTGTTAACTGTATAATTGTTGTACATTTAACTAATGTATTATTTAGAAGGTTTTATTTCATAACTGAGTTGCTTGAGATTTCTGTATAAATCAAGAAATAGCCTACAGAAAGACACATTGTTAAATATTGCATTAAAGAGATTAACAAAAATGAGAACATTTGGTACTTTATATGTAGATGTTGATCCAAATATAGGTATTTATTTAACTGAAGCCCACAGGATTTGTTCCACCTTAATTTGCTCTATTTTCTAAAGCTAAAAGCTAAAGCTTGCTCCAAAGAGTGCAGCCTTTAAGCAACCCGTGGTGTTTGATTTAAAACCATCCAATGCAACCTCCTTAATGCATCGGAATATAAAGAAGGGTCTTTCTTTCTGCAGATTGTGTCCCCTCGTCTCATGCAAACACGACTTGGAGGCGCCACATGAGACTAAATGACATTTCTTGCAGCGTGAAGGTGTGCATATGTTTGTGCAGCCAGCGGTTTAGTGCGCTGCACCCCCCGTCCATCTGGATACCTTGAAAGGAAAACCAACAACGTGTATCGTCTGATTTATGAAGTCCAGCTCGTTGCTGTGACCGCAGAGAAAACATAGGACGTTAAAATCCACAGTGGACACCGTGAAAAGGCATCTATTCTTATCACAGCCGCCGTGGAAAAGGACATTTATGGGGTTTAATCCCACTCTGAAATAGGCTCGGATTCATGAAGCCAGACGCCTTCAGGGACTGCGGGGAAACACAAGACTCCTATAGTCATGCAAACTTGATTTAATACCACTTTAATGTTGATGTATTTCATTTAAACTGTCAGTCAAGGGAAAAACACCTCTATTGATAAAACCTACAGGTAGAACTTCCCTCAGGATTTCAGCTTAATTGGTTCATTTATGGACTTAAAAAGAGCTCTCTCAGGGATAATAAATGCCATTTTGAAACGAGGTCAGCTGAGCCGTAAAGTTGCATTTCACACATTTAGAAATGTTTTGCTTCCTCTTTAAAACAATTAGCACCGTAGCTCTTTTTTTGTCCCAAATTTCAGATCTTAATATCTATTTATTTTAGACAAAATGTTGGGCTATAAGGAACTACAGCACGGTCACATGACTTCACGTCACCACCGCTAAGCTAAAGGAGGCTAATGTTGGGCTATAAAGGAACTACAGCACGGTCACATGACTTCACGTCACCACCGCTAAGCTAAAGGCGGCTAATGTTGGGCTATAAAGGAACTACAGCACGGTCACATGACTTCACGTCACCACCGCTAAACTAAAGGAGGCTAATGTTGGGCTATAAAGGAACTACAGCACGGTCACATGACTTCACGTCACCACCGCTAAACTAAAGGAGGCTAATGTTGGGCTATAAAGGAACTACAGCACGGTCACATGACTTCACGTCACCACCGCTAAGCTAAAGGTGGCTAATGTTGGGCTATAAAAGAACTACAGCACGGTCACATGACTTCACGTCACCACCGCTAAGCTAAAGGTGGCTAATGTTGGGCTATAAAGGAACTACAGCACGGTCACATGACTTCACGTCACCACCGCTAAGCTAAAGGTGGCTAATGTTGGGCTAATGTTGGGGGTCACGCTAACTGCCTGCAGGATTTATTGGGGGAGCAGAGGGGAGTTAAATGAGTCCCTCAATCGGCCCTCTCACCTCCTGTT